TATTCATCAGAATTTATTTCCTCTGTGAATATACCTAGTGCATACTTACCAGAACTTATTTTCTTCATATAAAAATTTCCTTTTGTATAATTTTGTATTTATTTCTCCTAGGTTCTTTTTACTGTCCCAACGTTGTGTCCTCCAGCCTATTTTTGGTTACTTTTCTAGACAAAAGTGCTAATACCCCACTCCTCATTCCCCCAGCACTTTCCTTTTATATAAATTTACCTGTGATTGTATGAATGGAGTTGAGTGGAGAGGTACTCATCATGTTAATTCCAAATAAGAGTACATAACCAATTAATACAGCAATAAGGAGATAGACAGGTAATGCAACTGCCCAGTATCTGCAGAAGATAATATTAAAGAACATAATAGACACTTTAATAAGTTGAAATTCTCAAGAGTCAGTTACAAAACATACGTTTTAAGTTTAATTTTTATTAAAGTAATATATGTACATAATAGACAGCCACATAATTCTACAAGTCTTATAATGAAAAGCCACAATCCTCCTCTCACCTGTCCCTACCCTGGAGTCTCACTCCCCAAAAAGGAACACGTTCAACACCTAAGTTGTTTCTTCTGGTACTTACCTTCTCATTTCTATATAACATGCTCATATTATTTCTTCTTGATTTTTTTTCATTATCAGATATTTTCTCTAGACTTTCTAACATGGACATGTGGAATTTATCTCCTCCTATTCTCTTCTATTACCTTACATCACAATTTCTGGGTATATCAACATTTAAAAAAAATTATTGTTGCTATATAAACAATGTCTGCAACCGAGAACCTTAGCATATTATTATGTTTTCTTGTGCAACTTGTTTTTTTGAATTATTACATCTTTTTGTCTATTTGCTTGGTTTCCCAAGTATCTGTCAATACTCGAGCCTCAAATTCTCTGATAGAACACTAACATGCCTCTCAATACAGTTAAGCACATTGAGTGCTCTATCTTGCCATGTTTTATGGGTGCATTGTTTCTTTAATAATTTCCTCCCTATTATTTTCTCTTTCTGGGAAAATCTAATAGTTAGATTTTTGGCCCTGTTATACTTTCCTCTATTTTCTATTTCTCTGTCTTCTACTCTACTTTCTAGAGATTACCTTTGGTTTATCTTCTAACCTTTCCATTAAAATCCTAATTTTGCCTGTTTATAATTTCCAAATATGGTAATTCCCTGAATATTCCCTTTGTATAGCATTTTGTTCTTGTTTCATTGTTATAATTTTTTCTTATCTCTTTGAGGATTTTATGTTATTTTAAAATTTTCTTATGTTCTCTGCATTATCTCCATTTTCTCCAAGTTCTCTTTTTTCTTTTGCTTTTGTATTTTATGTTAGAGGCTTTCTTTCAATGTCTGGTAACTTATTGGTAGTCCATTCATATTTAAACAAAGTTCTAACAAGCTGATTGGAAGCACTGTGTGTATGTGGGCAGGAATGGTGAACTGGTGAAACTTACTATAACAGACCTGGCCACTTCACTGAGTCTTCCAAATGTCAAAATTATAATCCTTTCTCTTGGGCTGGTCAGCTTCCTCAGGAAGGAACCTCCTATCTTTTTCTGGAAGGAGTAGGGTGGTAAAAGCCCGGGAGCCTAGTGAGGGAATGTGGAGTGGAAGGGGTGGACTTTATCACTCAGCCATGTAGACTTTCACTTATTCCCCTGTTTTTAGTAAGCTGCCTCCTTTCCACTCTCAGTTAGTTAGACTTAGTAGCCCCTGGGCTCAAGACTCTCACTCAACCTTTCCAGAGGTTTCCTGTTTCCTGCAGGACAGGGCAATGTTGGTCTCCCAAGAGGACTGAGGGAGGGAGATTTGAGGGTATAACACTCTTTAAACATGTTTTCAGCCAACACAGAATTACCATGTTAAAGAGATACCTGGTGCCTCCAATGTCTGAGTCATTCTGGAATTCTAGGGCACTCCTCTACTTCAGCAATGTGGAAAAAGCAGAAACTAAGTCAGTTGCCTCTCACCTATTTCAATCCACTCCCCCAAATTTTATTGATACCTCTTATTGGCTATCCTATTCTTTGCTTTTGCGGGTTTATATCTTAAAGACTTTTTTGTTTCCTATGAGGTCATTTAGCAAGATTTTGGGAGGAAATGGAGAGAAACATGTGTTTACCAAACCACATTTAATTAGAGGTATATCAGTAATGATCCTTAAAAGGCTTTGAATTTCTATGTGGCTATTCACAGATTTTAAAAGAATAAATATTTAGATTTTGGGTAAGCTTGAGGAAGAATATGATCCTTCAAAACAGCATAAACTTATAATCTTATGTAAGAAATATACTGAACTTACTTTTGAGGCCAATAGGTTAAGCCTAAGGAGTTTAGCCAAGATTCAGGAATAAAAGCCCACACGAGATAAAGTACTATAGAAAAGGAAAAAAGGACAGAGAAAAGTCAGTAAGGCATGGATCCAACCTAATAAGGTTCATATAAGACAAAAAAGCTCCTCTGAAGCACACCTGATTCCCTCAGAAATGAGTTTTCCCTCCTTTGAGTTCTTCTAGCTCCTTATTAGTAGTATTCTTATAAAACTTACCACAATTACCTTATTATTAGTAATTTCTTAAAGTCTTAACTCACACTATATTTTAAACAATTCAAGGGCACAAATCATGTCTTAGCAATTGTTGTAATCCTTACAGCATCTAGCAATTTGCTTTATGTATGGTAGGTGTTCAATACTTCATTTAGTTGCCTAAGAGGGAATTTATCTACCCTAGTTCTGCTCCACTACAAGTTGAGCTTCTGCTTTATCTCCCAGAGTACAACTTATTTCTCAATCCCAAGTCTTTGTGGCACCTTTTATTGTTGTCCCTATGTAATAATAATTGCTAAACTCTGAGCACTCACTGTGGGTTAAGCATAATTCTAAGCACTCCACATGCAATATTTCATTTAATCCTCAACACAATCCTTTGAGGTATGTATGAAATTTTTACCGATGAGGAAACAGAATCTTAGAAAGGTTACATCATCTGCCCAAGGTAAGTGGAAGAGACAAATTTCAAACTACCTACATCGATGATGGATTATTTTTTTGTCGATAAATATGTACTACAGAATTCTGTTTGTTAGGAGTGTGAGATGCAATGGTGAACCTGAAAGAGATGGCTTCTGCCCCTCCAAGCTTAAAATCTAGTGGTAAACAGACATGAGTAAAGTGATATTTTCACTACACTATCATAAGTGCTAATAAATTAGTAATAAAAGATGACACAGGAGCACATTAGAAGGACCTCATTCCACTCCTTATCATCCTTTCCCTTGCTTAATTTCTCCCCATAGTACATGTTACCATCTGACACTGTATATGTTTTACTTATTTAATTTTTACATTGCCTATATCCCCCCTCTAGAATGAAAACTCTATGAAAGCAGGAGATTTTTGGCTATTTTGCTCCTGCCTGGAACATGGTAAGCAGTCAATAAATACTTGAATTAGGGCCGAGCCCGTGGCACACTCGGGAGAGTGTGGCGCTGGGAGCGCAGCAGCGCTCCCGCCGCAGGTTCGGATCCTATATAGGGATGACTGGTGTGCTCACTGGCTGAGCGCGGTGCGGCCAGTCTCAAAAAGGACAAAAAATAAATAAATAAAAAATAAATAAATAAATACTTGAATTAACTTTTGGTTGTGGATACGATGGGATTTAAGTCTTAAAGTCATTACTTTAATTTATTTATATAGTTTGTAATCCTTGAAATACTCTTTGAACAGCGATTTGCAAACATAATAACAGTAACAACAACAGTTAACATTAAGTACTTATTGTTACTATGCATTGTTTTAAGTATGTTACAGAAATTACCCCAGTTAATCCTCACAACAGTCATAAGAGGCAGCAGAGTGAAGTCAGCCAGTGTGTCTGGGCTCAATTCTACCTCTGTCATTTACTAGCATTGTGACCTTGGACAAGTTACTTAAATTCCAGTATTCTCATCTTTAAAACGACAGTAACAGTACCACCTCATAGGATTGTTTTATGTATAACAAGCATTCAATAACCATCATTATCAGCACTCTTTTACAGATGAGGAACCTGAAAGCTTAAATAAATGGTCCCAGGTCACACAGGTAATCTGTGGATGAGTCAGAATTTGAACATAGTTTTACCTTCTTCACTCCACAGACTCTGCTAGGCACCAGCTTGGCTGTACATCTGCAAGCTGTACTAATGGTGGAAGTAGATATTTTGCAGTTAGGGTACAAAAATACTACCCCCTCACCCCCTATTCCTAGTTTCCACAAAGTTCCAGAAAGTAGGATTAGGGGCACCCGACTTTCTCATGGGGATTAAATGAGATCCAAGATGCAAGGGCACATCTTCCAACTGGATTCTCTTTACCCCCCAGCTTATGCATGCCACTCCACTGGAGCCATAGCGAACTCCTCACTTCCAACCCCCCTCATGCCTTTATTCCAGGCCTATCCACTGCTTCCTTCCTCCTGCTTATTCTTCTCTAGTCAGTGTAAGTGACAGGAAGAAAGCACCCTGGAACAGCTAACTCTGACTTTCCAATATGATTTCAATGTCTCTCCACTGCGTTCCCATGGCCCTCACCACACTGAGCGTTAATGGTAGATTTGCAAGACAATGACCTCCTTAAGGGCAGAGACCAGGCTTTATTCACTTTGCCATTATGTCTGGTGCTGTACAGATATTTGCTGAGATTAAATCTCTTATGCTAGTGCTGGCATACAGAACACCCTGAACAAACATGACTTCCCTTCAAGTTTTCTTAAAAAAACACATACGTAGAAAGAATCAACAGCTCATGTGTGCATATTCTAGGAACAAATGTGTTATATCCTTGTCATTGAACACCAGAAAAAGGCCCTGGCCATCCATCAGGAAAGTACTTACTGAAGCCAAATTGAGAACTTAAGAAAAGAACAAAGCCATAAATCGCTCTTTCTGGCAATGGCGACGGTGAATTTTCCACCATTTTCCCTGCGGCTTTGGACAATCTGTGGAAAAGGAACACAATTATCCATCAATGATGTACTCCCCTTCACTACTGTCTGTCATAAACTCATCACTTCGCTATGGAAACGACCTCTGCAGAGAAGAACTGCCATCCTGCGCGCGCACCCCAAACACACGCGCGCTCACGGCGCCCCCGCCTCGCGTGCACGCGCACGCCTTCGGCCGAGGGGGCTGCGGGCGGCAGCACGGCGTGGGAGGGGGGTACAAAGCGAGTTCCTTCCTGCGGGAAGGGCAGGGGCGGGAGTGAGGTCCGCGCGGCACCTAAATCCGGACCCTGCTCTCCCGCGGGCACTCTGTTTCTCCCTCGCGGCCGGGCAGGGGAGTGGGGCTCAACCCTGGCCTTCGTGCGCCCACCCAGGCCCCTCCCCGTAACTCAACCACCTCAGAGCTGAGTTCTCTGCGCAAGCGCCGACCAGGGAGCCGCAGCGGGGAAAAAGGAGGAAAATTGAGGGAAAGGATAAGGCACGACGACAGCCGCCCGTCCCGGCGCAGGCGCACGACGACGCTCGCCGGAAGGGAACACAAGAGCGCTGGGGCCGGTGGGATCGCTCGGCTCGCGGCCACGGAGGCGGGGGCAGCGCGGCGCGACTGCGCATGTGCTCTGCCTGCCCACGTGACGCGTCTGCCGTCTGAGCCGCCGCCTGCTCCCTCCCGCCGCCTGGCTGACGTGGACGGCCGGAGGCGGTGGCGGCGGCGGCCCGCGTCCGAGGCTC